ACAAACAAACAAATAAACAAACAAACACACAAACTTTCACATTTATAATATTAGTAAGATTATTTCATACAATTTTCAACAGTACATTAGTGGAATGCCCCGAACCCATTGTGCTAAGAGTAAGTACGGTATTAATGGTACTTTGGCATTATCCGGAGGCCACCCTTATACAGCGTGCTGCGGCGGTTATGTTAGGTTGGGTTATCATAAATATGTTAGTTGGACTTCCTTAGTTTCGCTATGAATGGAATGATACCAGATGAGTCATACCATAGCCAAATCCCCACTTGGAGGGCCAAGGTCAGGTCGTCGACCAATGGCCGGAGCGCGCGCATCACCTGTCACCGCCTGTATCTCAGGTATCGTCACTAATGGGGTATCGTTAGATTCAAAACGAAACGAGGAAATCCAACCTAAAATAACCGCCACAGCGCGCAGTATACATACTCGACGGAGTTCATGTGGCAGCTAGGGGCGGTGACGCATTCAACTAAATCTTCGCCGACACCGCTGCCTTCTGGGAGGCAGAACTCAAAACCCGCTAATTGCAATCATGTCAAATCTGGACAGTAAGGTAATTAAAATATGTTCTTTCTAATTATGTAGTTATTTTTGGTCTTAGGTAAAAAAAATCCCTCTAAAACAAGTGGCCTCCGAATAATAACTAAGTAACGGTACGGTATTTCCTGAAGCATGAAATGGAATTTCAAGCAGAACATCAAAAATGCAATAAAAATCTTTGTTTAAGATATCTCCTAATGAGTTTTTTGGAATATATCTGTCTGGTATGAACTTCTCTGGGCAATACCCTTGACTCAGAGGTCAAAGTACATTACACGGTTGGGTCGAGTCTAGTTCTGTATCCTTTTTCAAATTCTTCTAAATAGAAAAACAGGTGCGCGCTAGTCCACACAAAGCACATTTTAGTCTGTTGTACTCTATATCAACGATGTATATTTTGTTTTATGTTTTTGGTTGAATGTATTATTATTTTCACCACAATACGGTTTTAAGAGAAAGTATAACCGAACAATACATTTTCATCATTTTTGTTTAGGCCATACACACGTGAATTACAATTAATAAATGAAGTTTTTAGGTAACTTATTTTGTAATTCATTGTCATAATGCTGAAAAAGAAAATAAGTATAAGTATTATACCAGGTGTACACCTACAAAAAATCATAAGAAACTAATATCTTATTTTTCAAAATTAAGTTTCATGTTTTTGTCTTCAATGAAAATATGCGAAAACATAATTAATATTTTTATTTTTATTCTTGAATGACCCTTAATCGTTAATTTGTATTGAGTTTATCTTAAAATTCTTATAAACAATAACCGTTGATTAAAAGGAAAAGTTGTCTTGCGTGGATGCGTTTACTTTATTTCTATGGCAGATCTAACGATTCGAAAATTAATTTTTTTATTCAATCAATCAAGAAATTTTTTTACACAATAATTACCAATACATAGGATACAAAAGTGCAAAAACCACAAATGGTTTGTCTGCACTAAAAATATTGTTTCTTATTTACCATACAGTTTTGTCAGTTTGAAACAGTAGCATGCAGTTTTATGAGTTCTTAATTGTATCTTGAGTAATTATAAAAAAAGACAACATTGACACAAATATCTGTAAAAATTCAAAAGTAACAATAATAAATAAACTATTAGAATAAATAACAATAACATATTACTTTAACTTCAACTAAAAATGTATTAACAATAATGAATTAACAATCATTAATGAATTAACAATAACTAATGTATAGTTAACTTCACAGTAAACTAGATAACACATGTCCAGGTAAACTGCATACAAAGTGATGCATTTTATAATACACAAACAACAGCGGCTTTGCCAACAAAGATGGCGGGTTGTCGTGTACACCCCATGTTAACTCTCGTCAACCCGCCACCTCGCATGTAAGCGACAACGTGCCACCACGTCAACCCACCATCACTATTTTATGAGGTGGCGGGTTGTCGTGTACGCTCAATGTTCAATGTCGTCAACCCGCCACCTCACACGTAGACGTCAACCAGCCACCACGTCAACCCGCCACCACACTAAAGAGGTGGCTGGTTGACGTGTATGAACACGTCTAAGCACCACCAGGACAACGTGCCACCATGACAACCCACCACCACACGTTTTTCCGAGGTGGCGGGTTGTCGTGCACGCTAGAGTCAACGTGCCACCCCGACAACGAGCCACCACGTCAACCTGCCACCTCAAACTTCTTCTTCTTTTTGATGGTGGGTTGACGTGGTGGCGGGTTGACGTGGTGGCGCCTTGGCGCGTTTCCGTCCGTGAGTTTTGGTTAGTTTTGTAAATTGTAGTGGCACACGGGAGGGATAATTGGCTAACATATTTTGTAGTGTCAGCGTTCGCCGCTAGAACCACTAAGTTGAAAAAGTTTAAATTAATTTTATAGTTTTTAATTATTATGAAATTAACTTTTTAATTATAAAATAACTAGCTGGCCCGACAGACGTCGTCCTGTCCTAATGTGGTTTTATGACAAATGCTCGTTTATTTTCAAGATGAGCTCGTTCGCATCGCATAGTTCAATCACGTCCTGGTTGAAGTTCGTTTGCTACGCTTACTCACATCACGTTTAGGTTGGAGCTCGTTCGCTGTGCTCACTTGCCTTCAGGTTTAGCTCGTTCGCTACGCTAACTCACCTCCAGGTTGAACTTCGTTCGCTACGCTCACTCACCTTTTAGTTGCAAATTAGCTGTTGTCATAAATTTAAAACAAGTAATAGTGCAGCACCCTTTTTGGTAAACCTATGAACTTATTTTTAATACTATTGAACATCCCAGCATGACATTGTTTAGTTGAACCAGCTGTTAAGATTCTTTAATTCCATTTAAATATAAGTACTCATAAGGTTAACATGGGAAGCTCCAGAGCCACTGGGGCGGAGCCCTTTTGACGGATCTGCACCAAACTTTACACAAACCATCCTTAAATAATGCCTGAAAGTTCCATTACAATCTGTTGAGCGATTTCGGAGTCCATAACGTTCAAATATACAGGGTGTTTCGGTAAAGCGTAGCGGGCTGTGCAGATTCAGATTCTACATGCAAACAAGAGTCGAAAATATAGAATAACTTTTTTTCGATTTCGGCTTTGTTTAGCCGTAATCCATCATTATTTATTTTTTTTTAAATAATTAATAACTCAAAAACTCTTGGAGATATTTTTATGAAACTTGGTATAAACTTTTAGGCTACGTATAAACATTCTCCGAAAATATCTTTACGCCTTTACTACTGTTTCACAACTTCCTACGTCGTGGACTTGTTTCCCCCTTCCCATAGCATTTTAGTATTTTTTCATTAATGTTTTATCAACACTGTGTAGTAGGCCACTTATGTCTTAAAATATGTTTTTAGCAGGTTCTTGAAATTATTGATAGAGGCTCTTGCGTGATGTACTCTGAGGCAATTTATTGTACATTTTTATACTATTGAAGTAAGGGCTCTTGCTTGCAAGGGTGGAATTTACTTGAGGTACATGTGGATTTGTTGCTCTTCTTGTGGACCATGCTGTTAGTTTGAAAATATTGAGATTATTCTTAACGAGCAATGCGGATTCCAATATAAGGAGAGGCGGAAGTGTGAGAATGTTTAGTTCTTGGAACAGAGGTTTTACAGTGTGTCCGTCTATGGACTCCACATATTCGTCTAACTGCACGTTTATGAAGGATAAAGATGCTTTTTGCCTCACTACAACCACTCCAAAATACCAAACCATATGAAATTATGCTATGAAAGCAGCTATAGTTACCGGTGGGGCACACGGGAGGGACTAAGGCTAACATATCTTGTAGTGTCAGCGTTTGCCGCTAGAACTGCTAAGTTAAAATAATTTATTTTTTTTAATTTTTAGTTATAAAATAAACTTTTTAATTAAAAAATAGTGTTTTAAAATTATAAAATAAATTTTTTATTTTTAAAATTAAACTGTCATAACGTAACCTAACCAACCAGACTTGATGGTAATATAAAAACTATGTAAGACAAAAACTTAATAATAATTACTTATAATTTTTTATTAATTATAAAATTTAGTATTATAAAATTAAACTGTCATAACCTAACCTAACCAACCAAACTTGCTGATACGAAAAATTTGTTGACAAAAAGTTAATGCAGCCATCGGGATTCGAACCCGGGACCTCCTGTACACCAATCCGAAACACTACCAACTATGCCACGAACGTCGCTGAAATCACATCGTTTCGTTACGGTAATCGTGTCGCCTCAAGTAGAGAAGACATTAGCCACTAGAGATGTGACGTCACTTCAACTTTAGTTGAAGTGACGTCACATCAACGTCGGATGGGCCTTAGTCCCTTCCGTGTGCCCATTCCCTATAGTTACCCATAAGGAGAATCTCGATGTCATGTTTTTGAATGACATGTTCATGTTGCTCAGTGTTTTTTTTTTCAGGAAAAGACTGAAATATTATTTTTAGTTTAATATTTTTATGCAAGACAAAGCCTATTGTAAATTACTTAATGGCCGAAATAAATCTTGAATCTTGAATCTTGAACCGTCAACCTCAACCAGCTTTTGTAGTCTAAGTCTACACAGCAGGTAGGTGACAGATGACAGTCTGGGCGTCTGCAATTTATTCAATCAACAAATAATAATCAATAATAATTCTTGTTCATACTACATGTATAATCAATGCTATTACATAATATTGAAAACATAAAAATCTATTTTTTTCTTGAACATTTAAAAATCTAAACACCTTTAAACGATTGTTTAAGATCATAGAATACTACTTGTTTAAGCTATCGATTGATGTGTTATAAATAAAATAATACTGCTAAAGTTATTGAATTTTATTTGTATTGGGTACAACAAAACAACCTTTTTTATAGTACGTTTGAACTTATCTTTATGTAATGTAAAAGGCACAGACTCGTGACGTTATGTTTCCCTTTATTATTTGTGTCTAAAATCCAGTTATGTGAGCGAAAATGGCGTCGTCTCTAGTAACTCTACGTTTGGGCGGTTTAGAAATTGATGAATGAATTCGTAATTGCGCTCTTTTTTGCTGTTAGTGTATCATAATATTTGACCGGTAAGTACATTACGTGTTTTGTATTAAAAATTTGTGTGATTGCTCCGTTGAATTCTTTGCATGGAGCATCATATCTGTTAGCTTTCTTTATTAGGCCTTAAATCGGAGGGTATTGGTAAGGCTCAAAACATTATTAGGCCTATTGTAATTAGTTTACCAATGTAAACATTAGTAAGTCTTTATTTAGTGAACTCTAGTAGACTTTTATTTATTCATGATCATGAGTTTATTAAGTTAAGGAGTTAGTTTAATTTAACTTAGCCTATTTGGTCTAGAAGTTTACAGTCTTCTAGCCTAGGCCACCAAACACTGATAATTACTGTTTAAAAAATGTATTTTTTCCAGTGTCAGTGTTTTAATTGGATAAAAACAGTGGAGAAAACCTCTTTAACTAAGTTACCGTAACAATTCGGTTAATTAAATATAGGGCCTAACCTTAACTTTACCTTACCGAATCTATTTATTTATTTATTGGCAACGGATATCTCCATTTTACAACCATACAAATCAAAACAGTACAACTCAGGATGGCTTATACCGTACAAATAACATACACAACAGAAAACAGTTTAAAATGATGAAATAGTTCATTGTAGGTAGGCCTACCCTAAATAAAGAAACTTAGCTTAGGCCTACTAACAGTCTAATGCAAAAAGGAACAGAAACAGTGAAATAATACTGAAAGTGGAAGTTTAGAATAGTTGATAATACTGACAATAATAAAAAATTTTGTGCTTATAAGTTAGACTAGAAAAAATTCAACAATATAATAACAATGTAAGTTAATAACAACAATAACAAAGACAAACCTACCAGCTAAACAACAACCATCAAAATGGCTGCACTTTACTTTCGGTCCTACACACCCATTCGAATGAAAATAAGTTATCGATCGATATATCGATTAATCGGTTTTTCATTCGATATCGTTTGGTTAGTTAGGTAAGGTTAACCTAACCTAACTAACCATACGACATAGGGCCTAGCCTATCGAATGAAACAATCGATTAATCGATATTTTCATTCGAATGAAAATATCGATCGATAGGGGCTATATCGATTAATCGGTTTTTTTATTCGATATATCGTGTTGTTAGTTAGGTAAGGTTAACCTAACCTAACTAACCAAACGACATATCGAATGAAATAATTGAATAATCGATATTTTCATTTGAATGAGTGTAGGACCTAAAGTAAAGAAAGTGCAGCCATCAAAATAACCAAAGTTATACTAATAATAACTTACCCCCCCCCCCCGCAGCAAACCTGCAGACTAAGCGAATTTCAACTTGTCTGATTAACATATTTACTGAAATATTTCCATAAATAAGTTAAGACATATTTATTCCAAATTAAAAAAAAAAAAACATTAGGCCTAGATTTAACGAGTGCTTAGGTTTGCTGCTACGGGGAAGGTAAACAGTGTTTTTGACCAAACATCAATAAGTATAGGATAAAATAAATAAATTTGCCAAATTTGATCAACCCTAAACAAGTACCGTAAACTACAATAGTTTTCATTTTCTCCGTAACCATAGGCCCTACAACAATGCTTCAATATACACAATTATTTCTTTTTATAAGCTCTACAAAATGGTTGGGAAATAAATTCCAAAATTTTATGTTTTTAAGGTCCAAAATGGGAAAACCCATTAAAAACCCCCTTTAATTAATCGCAAGTGCAATAATATAGTGTAACCGTAAATTAAATTAAATAGCTAGACTGTACGCATCATCCAGGTCAGGAATCAGAGATTCTTTGTGCATAAAATTGTTCTTGAGTTTCGATAACCAGAAAGAAGACCTTGAATCAGTGTTGTATCTAGGGCTGGGAAACTTAAATTTATTAATGATCGCCGCCAATAGCTTACAAACAAGGTTTCCACTCATTGACGGCTCTTCAATGGCGGTTGTATAAAGTGTAAAGTATAAAATCACAACTGCAGTGGGTGATTGTAACAGAGGTTTATGGGTGATGCTAAACTCGCTTTTCCAATGTGTCACTTTCTGTTCCTACTCACCGTGTAATGCAATCGCTGGACCATACAGCCAATAGACCCGTAGCCCATCTCATAGGTACGTACCGGCATAGACTAAGCAACACGAGTAGACTCCTCATCCCAATGTAAATTTTGAAGCTTGTTTTTTGCGTCTAGTTCATGTACGTCCACACTGATCACTAGTGTAGACAACATTTTGTTTCTATTATTTTAGGGTTATTTTCATGATTTTTGCTTTACTGTTTGGTTATATAACTAGGAGACCAGTTATTGATTATGATTATATCGTTTTATTAGGTTAAACGAGGTTTTAAATGACTGCAATAACAAGAAACAAATTGTAAACAAAACAATTTATGTAGTTGGACGTACAGAACTAACAATCAAATTGGCTTCAGCTGTTCCATTAGGATGACTAATCTACTAAGGGAGTATGTTTTATCTATGGTACCGGTACGCCTACCCAATTATTCATAACAACCTTTTCGACGACGATCCTTGATACTGGTACTTTTCCCTAGAAAATACACGGCCAACCTACTTAAGAAATTAAATTACAAACGTCCAGAAACCCAGCATTGTGTGATTTTTGTCACATTTCCTACTAATTTCAATAGTAGGCCTACTAGCCTAATCATTGTTTAGAGAATATGTAATCTATTAATTACCAAAAAGTTGTTTTTTTTTCAAACTGATACCAGATAGTTTACATTAAAAGTTATTTACAAATAAAGCAGTTAATGGGAAATAACTTTGATTGCCGATAACTTTTTACGAGAAAGTCCATAACCATGAGATCAATAACCTCGGGACTTGATTAACGCATATAATTGGTCGTATGTACTACCTATAGGCTAGTTCTTAACTGCAAACGTTGGTTTAACTGCTAACATACTGGTTCTTTTCCTTAGAACCGTTGGTAGCAGCAAGAATCATTTTTACGTACCAACACATCACTGTTATTTACAAATTAGTTATCGTTGGTGTTGCACCTTATTTATTACAGCCATATTCAATTTAATTGATGTCTTAACTGTAGGCCTATAAGTTTTGCTTTTTTTAAACTGTCAGATACTGTATTTGCGAAGGTTGATACATAATAGTTTTGCCAGCATATCTGAAAATATGCAAACCAACTGCTGTTCTTAATATAAGAAGGTTTCAACTGACTATTATAAAATCCCTGTGCGTTGAACGGGCACACAGCTTGTTGTGGTGTAAGTTGGTAGTAAATTTCTCCGTAAAATCCCCTTTTGGCAAGCTTAGAAAACAACTTTTTGTCCCCTCATTCTCCCTCAAATTGGCAACACAATCTGACCGGATACGTTCCAAGCAGTGCTAGCTGCTATCTGTTGATGATTTAGCGAACTACGTTGACTCTCGTTGTAGCGCAGTACATCACCGTACGTTATTTGCTATACGTCAGACCGAAATATTTGAGAGCCAAATGAGTTCGCTCGACGCTGCGCCGTACTGGGACCATGCCTGCCATTTTGCGGGCCGCAGTGAACATTTAGGCCAAAAACGACCTCGGATAATCGGGAATGTACTGTATTAAGTTATGTTTTGTATACAGTAATAATGTTAAGTTAATTCTGCTGGCATGTTCTTGACAAAACTAATAAATGACACGTTGGTTCTCACAGCACCTGATATTCTAGGATAGCCTATTCTGCAATCCAAACCTGTTAATGGGATGAACAGTCCAACACCTTTTTCACGTTGTTTTTTACTCATTAGCTCGTACAACATTAAAGGGTCCATAGGCCTACTTCTATTTGTGTAACTACTCAGTCAATACACCGTCATTACTTCTAGATCACAATATTTAATCCTGAGTTATTTCATTCCCCCACTAACTCTTTGTGAGTAAATAAGTGTCTCTGCCGTGTTCAATGCTAGTGCAGCGAATGCTAAAATGAGCCTTAGTGACACCAAATTATGCATCGCAATTCCGACTTAGGTCTAAGCAGTTTGGTAGGAAACAAATTGATTTTAACGCTTAATATTTCTAAGGCTTAATCTAAACATGGCCAAGCTCAATTTTCCTGGTGAATGTGAATACAGCAATCATTGTCTATCAAGTGAGCCCAATTTGTCAGTTAATGCCTATTTCAATTAGGTTAATTTAAAAAAAAAGTTACTGTATCACCATGGTCAGAAGAGACACTTTACTTTAAATCTGAGCATACCCCATCCAAACAATTATAATACACAGTATGTCATTGGGCTAAGAAGAGTGTACACTCTTTAACGCAATTTTGGTGCTAAATCAGGAAGAAGGATGTTTGAATTTGAATTACCAAATATGTTGTTGAGCTTGGTGATACTTAATAATATTTTAAAGTGTTTCATTGTATGTTTTATTATTCAATTTCTTAAGTAGGTGTTAATGAACTTTAAATCTGGGCTAACCCTATCCAAACAATTATAATACACAGTATGTCATTGGGCTGAGAAGAGTGTACTCCCTTTAACGCAATTTTGGTGCTAAATCAGGAAGAAGGATGTTTGAGTTGCCAAATATGTTGTTAAGCTTGGTGATACTTTATAATATTTTAAAGTGTTTCATTGTATGTTTTATTATTCAACTTCTTAAGTAGGTGTCAATGAAATTTAAATTTGGACTAACCATATCCAAACAATTATAATACACAGGGAGGACGGGGTACAGTGGGTAATGGGGCACACTGGGTCATTGGAAAATTTCCCTTTAAGGGATATTTTTTTCCTGTTTCCAGTATAGTTTAGGTTGCCTACCTGCTAGCCCATATTGTGGAAAAAGATCAACAGATGGAGTGGAATTGTGAGGGAGATAGTTGGCTTTGTTTAATTTTGCCTCCATGCTGGAAAATTGTGGTTAGCTTCTTTTTAAATATTTACCATGGTTTTTTTTTATTTAATGTAACTTTCTCTATAACTACCTAAATGATCCTAGGCTGTTCTTATTCATTTAGATAATAAGACTTTATTGTTAGTATCATAGAATACATAATTACTATTTCACTTAAAAATGGCAGCTTCCTCTGGGGTACAGTGGGTCACTTTGTTTGTGACACAACGGGTCCCATTGAAAATGCTTATGATATCATAAGAAAAAGCATATGAAGTGAAATACGTGAGAAAAATGTTGCCAACTCACAATATTGTGTTAGATGAAGAAGGAATGTATTTGGCAGACCATAAAGACATTGACAAAAAACAACCAAAACAAAAAATATATCCTGGTACAGAAAGAAAAATAATCAAGTTGACATTTTCACTAAACTTTGAATCATATAATGTGCATTAAGACATTATTTGTATTGAGCAGCATTTCTCAAAATAGCTTTTTCAGTTTTGCAAATTGTGTTTCCAGGAATATAACATGTTGGTGTGATACTTTGTTCTTTTTTTTCTTTATGACCCATTGTGCCCCACTATCTAGTGTAGTAAAACTTAATATTTACTTGCAAAAACAATTTTGTTATAACAAAAAAAATGCCAAGCAATAACAATAAATATTTAACTCAACCCCTAATGAAAAATACTATGAATTAAAATTATGAAAGCAAAAAGTGACCCACTGTACCCTGTCCTCCCCTACCTATGTCATTGAGCTAAGGAGAGTGTACACCCTTTAACGCAATTTTGGTGCTAAATCAGGAAGAATCAGGAAGGATGTTTGAATTTGAATTACCAATTCAAAACTTAAGTCAAACCTTATTTCTATCAATTCTAAATTCTAATTAGAAACCTTGTTGGTGATTCAAACACAGATATGAACGAGATGAAGCAGGAGATGTCAGTGGCTAGCACATCAACATGGGATGCGGGACCACACGAGACAATGCCCACGATGCCAATCCTGGTCCCCACACCTATAAAGATGGTTCCTCCCCATCACCACCCACCCGTCCCACTCGACCATCACGTAATGCCGGTTCCACTCATGCCGCAAACTCCCCATGTAAGTAAATTGTAAAATTGTTGCTTGGTTTAACTTACAGTATTTCGGTAGCATTGCTTGTCTATTGTAAAATAGTTTGGTCCACATCTCGGTTGTGCTTCTGTCATACTATAACTGTACTGTATGCTTTTTTATTGCATAGGGGATGCCTGTACCCGGGCCCTTCATGGAAGACTTGCCACCTGAGCTTGTGCAGCAGGGGTGGAAGAAGTTGTGGAGCAAACGAGAGAATCGTCCGTACTTCTGGAACAAACTTACAGGGGTCTCTCTATGGGAGATGCCTAACAACAAGCCACAGGTTAATATAAGGGTTAACCCTTTGAACTAGTGTACCTGTTGCTCGAATTCGAGCAATTGTGAAGTATTACAGGCGCTATTTTAAAAAGCCATTATTTCTGATGACTTTAAAAGAATCAATTCAAAGATTATGGAAATATTCATGATGTACATAACGGTTCAATACAATCAACATTTAATGTAAATATCTTATCATTTTTCAAAAGCTGATATTGTTTTTTAGTGTCTTCTGCAAATGTTTCCCAGTCATAGCCGCATTAGGCCTGTTTCACATCTACCCGGGTGCCGGGTGTCGTTTAACCGGCAATGGGGTGAAGAAGTATATGGCACCGTTCACACATGCACGGCATGTGTCGTGACCGGTTAATCACTTGCCCGGCTGCCGGGTACTAGTCGAGGGATGCCGGTGCCGGTTAAACAAGCCGGCTGGAGTAGTGGGTATAGCAGCCCATTGTGACTGTTCACATACAACCGGCACCTGCCGTCTGTCGGGTGCACCAAGAGTACTTTTAGTTCAGTTCTTTGTAGTTAATGTGTATTAATTTTGGGTATTTGTTCGCAAAGTTTTGGTCATGTCCATGAATAGACCATGAACTACTTATTAATTTAGTTCAAGAGCAGAATTATTTGAATTAACTTAAATAGAATTTTTACTCAATTTTATTTTTCATTTTTTATTTAATTTTATTACATAACATTGAATTGAATTTTACTCAAATTCAAACTGAATCAAATTTAAAAAAATCAAATATAAATACAGTTGCAATAAAAGTTACTTCAAAGTGACATTGCGATTGCTTACGTTCCATTTCCATCCCTACGACACACATGTACACAAGTTTCACAAGCTGGAGTACAACTGCCGGAGTGCCGGTGTCGGCGTAATGTGAAAGGTGCACTCGTGCCGGTGCCGGCTAGAAGTCGGGTTAACGGCATGCCGGGTGGAAGCCGGGTAGATGTGAAACGAGCCTTAGGTTGTCCATAATAATGATTATTAATTCTAAAAAAACATTATTTCTATTTCTTCTACTTGGTGGTGTTCTATGACTTTTCCAAGTTTCCATAGTTTGCAAATCTGCTCTTTAAATGATTGCTTAAGAAATGCAGCACAGTGTAAATTCAGTACACTGAAGAAGAACTGCAAGAAACTTTGTCTTTATATGTGTAAACTAGCTGTTCTGAATTGTGCACAGTTTTAACTGACTACTCAATTCCCGTACGTAGGACGGGCTAACACCTCGTTAATATAATAATATTAATAATACGCTACATGAAACTTTGTGAACAGTAAGGCTTTTTTGTTTTAAGATTCAACCCACCATATTATATACCAAAATGTTCGTGTAGGTGTGCAGATTTGCAAACTGACCTTATATTTTTGAAAAAGTCTCTTGGGCTCTGTCCCAGTGGCATGTAAAGTTTTCATGTTATCCTTATGAACAACATATTTGTTTACATTATGATCAGCTGGAAAATTTAATTGCTGTTACTATTTTATTTTCAGTTTGAGGAAACGTGTTCTACAAATTACTAACTTGGTTGAGGTAAAATATTTACTATTTGAATTTGGGTTGGCGTAATAAATATTACAATGGAAAAGATTGTTCAGCGTTTATGCAAATTTTTACGGTGTTTTTCATCATCTTATAGAAATAAAAATATAATTTTTTCCAAAACTAGGTGGATCTACAGACAGTAAGAATGATGCCACTGTAAGGGTCTGCATACCTGACTATTCAATTTTTCATTTGACTTTCAGGTCCAAAATTTTGACCTTTTGGTCTTAGTTCAAAAGCGGGGAATGCCAAAATCAAGGTGCTTTGGAAAGTATAGGCTCCTTTTTAAGAAAATAAAAAAAAAACACTACAATTTTAAAACAATCGGGGGGGATATTACAAATTTTAGATTTTTTATCTTATGAAGAATAAATTCTTGGCTTGTCTCTACAATCGAGCGACTTTCACACCTCTTAACAGAAAGCTAAAACTCTTTACATAAAAATAGTTGCCGATAATAAAAATATGTTAACATTTAATTTCAATAATAGGACACTAATATTGTCAAAACCAGTTTAAAAAAAAGAGAGGTAAATTTGTTTTCCGGTGTTAGGTGTGCTACTATTGTCATCACGCTTAGTTGAGACATCATTATAGCTGATCAGTACTCTTAGAATGTTTTAGTTGAACTGAACTATGATAGTTTTTTTGAAAAACTCAAGTCTAGCTGAATAATAAAATACTTGCTAAAAAAATACTCAACCATTAGAGTACTTGCCCACCCGTATAGTTGATTATCTGATCTAGTTGGTAATATGATTTTTCCTACAGCACTGCATTGTTTAGTCCACTCTTTTTGGGTTCATGAAAACAACTGTAGGCTAGCGGACCATACAAAAGCAATCGTAGGGGAATGCTTATATCCAATGAAGATATCACAGTTGAGAGCTGGTAGCCTAAAATTCAATTTGAAAAATTAATTTGATCCTAAAAAAATGATATGACTATGTCTTAATTCAAAATTTGAGAAATTTATGTTATCTGTTTACAGTTTGATCCGATCACGGACCCTTTGGGCATAAGTGGACCAGGAGCGATGATCAATGGACCACCCATGCCTGTCAAACGAAGGGCCTCTGAGGAAGTGGTGGGCAGTCCTGTAGCTAAGAAGTTTATTCTTGCGTGAGTAATTTTTAGCCTACCTTAGACTATCCATATAACTAGACATTCCTTTCCCATGTTAAGGTTGAGCCACCGACCAAGTTATGCTGATGTAAATTAGGCCACTTATATCTTTTGAATAAACACATTTGTTAGCTAAATCAAACTTAAGAAAGAAACTTTTTGTCTGTAGCATCTTCTATTGCACATTAACCATCACTGTAACAATAAAATGAGAGAGAATAGAATAAAAATGAACATTAGTTGAATTGAGCCTCTAACAAAGTGTGCTGGTCTAAATTTATGATTTCAACAACTTTCTGACTGACTCTTCTAGTAGGGCAAGTATGTGTGAGGTACCAAATTTTAAGGGGGGTAAAAACGTATTGCTAGTCAACAAACACCATTACTTACCCGATTTTTATCCACAACATCCTAATCCTAGGCCTATGTGTTGGCCCTAGCTTGGGCTATGGGCCAAAGAACGTAGGCCTACTTTTGATAACAGTGAAGTACACGAACATACCCACAACTTCATATTTATTCATAATAGCACTCCGTTTCACATAATAAAGTTAAAACGACCGATTTTACGAATATTTAACGCCGATTACAACATCACTTAACCTCAAAATGGTGTTTGTTGACCAACGACAGACGACAACTAGACCGGCTCAACAGGTGAATTTCCGATCAGCTGTTGGCTAGTTCTCGAACTCACCACCAGAGCGATTAAGCCTCGACCGAGGAAATCATGATTTGAGCCGGACAAGATTATTCGCTGTTTGACCACCGACTAGCTCGCACGGGTTACGGATACAACGAAACGACACCACGATATTATTACGAAGGTTAGCTACCATACTAGTTAGGCCCATTTTTACGTTTTACGTTCTTTCTGTTTTATCTTACGCATACTTAACTTAATATACCTTTTCGTTTTCTTAATATTCCGTTTTGAATTATCTTAATTTAATATCTTAACTTGAGTCTTGACCCGCCAGTTCCTGCCTGCCAGTGACTAGCGGTGGCTATCGTTTATTTAATGTTAATTCATTAGTTTCGAAATTACGATTTCTACGTTCGCTTAACAAATAATTATCACGTCCAAATTATATCTCGTTTTCACCGTTTTAATACCCCGAGACTTGTCGTCTAAGTTCTAAACCCCGTCTTTGGCGGGTGAAAGAATCAAGTCTTGGGAACAGGCTGATTTGAACAATCAGCTACGTAAATTAATATTAAATCTATTTTAAATCATCCCACGATAAATTCTCCGTTCAATTATATTAATTAGGCCCGACGATTCTGTAGGAATTACTTTTTATATTATATTCGATTTTATATTATTTACCAACGTCCTTAGCCAGATAGTTTACAGTTTATTACGAGTATTTAAATCATATTGGCTTAAGATTGGATACTCGTCGGCCTTACAGAGTCATTCTAAAAGTTAGGCAAAATTCTCCAAAACACTTTTACGAAGGTTGGGATGATATAACTCCAACTGAGCGTCTGCAGGATTTCCTGAGCGCTTCTAGAGCTCTGAGCCTTCGATTAAATTTTAATAAATTGATCAGACAAAGCCGTGACAACTTCGTATCGACCCCTGGATTTTTCTCGGCTCCTTCTGAGCACTCCGGGGAAGAAATTTGAGTGTGGCTGGTTCTAGGGGTAGGCCTAGCCTGACTTAGGTGAATATTAGTTTATTCCCCCCCTAGAATTTTGCGTCACATATGTAATTTTTTGATAAACTATTGGCTAAGCTGGTTTATAGATGGCACTTTAAATTTAATTGACTTTCATTTTACATTTTCTTGGACGGATCCATGTTGATAATTCTTTAGAGACTTTTGGATAAGATATTTTTTATTTATATTGCTAATAAAATACAATGGTTGAGAGTGTTAAGTACCTATAACAAACAGCAATATAGTCAAGAGCAGTGTTCAGTTTGTAAAAAATAGGTGCTGGAACTGTAACCTATTTACCAATTTACGCCAATATTTTTATCCTTCTGAAAGGAAGGTACCGGAACTAAGTTCTGCCGCGTTCCCCACAAATCGAGGACTCTTCAAGAGAAACAACAACAAAATTAGAATAGTGGCCTAATTAGAATAGTGACTTGGCATTTCTGCTGTATATTTGACTTTTGTCAATGCTTATGTAGCCTGAAAGACAATAATAAGCATATTTAAAAAAAAAACAAAAACAAAAAAAAAAAACAGACATAACTTATGAATTCAGAAGCAGATGGCTCATTATTTATTACATATTTGGGTTGAGGTTTTGTGTTGAGGTTTAGTATTGATTTAACTTCCAATTCTGTGTGTGAAACATTCTGGAGAAAATTGGACATGGAAGAGGTCTAATAAAGTTTTAAGAAACTATAATTTTGAAACGGGTTTCAATGTAAAACAAGAAAGAGGCCTATTGTTTGGACTTAAAAAAATTAGGGCAATTGTGTGTAGCCTACCATTTAAATCACTGATAATTAGGGGTCTGCAGGCCTACTGACATTCGAGTTGGGCCAAAATTTGGGTGCTTTGTAACTTATTGGTATGTTAAAAGATATATATTGTTATCCTACAATAAAATGATCACACAAAATTGTGAATGTCTCCTGTGACCATGGAAAATCGTGAAATTTTGAGGGTGCAATCCTAGCAGACACATTTTGGGATTACAATTATATTGCCCGATGCAAGAATAAGAATCGGCCAAGTTGCATACCTCTAATGTAAACTACCCGACCCGAGCTTAGCCCTAGATATATTTCTCTCTCAAACTGATCTCTTGAGGTAAATTATTGGCCTGGTCTTATTCATTTATCGTTTTTATGTATACTTATGCAGGGGACCTTGGGACTTGGAGATATCTACGAATGTCATTATCTACGAGAGGCCCCCAATAGTCATCCCTCATCCCCATCCTGAGGTAGAAGCTTTCCGCTGTTCTTTACTGACCAAACTACGCAACTGCTATCAGGAGCTCTGTCACTCAAGGGAATGTAAGTAGAAATGTTCAATATTGTTGAAGATTCAATAAGCTGTGGGGTTGTTTTGTATACCTTCAACAACGATAAAAATTTAATATAGGTTGTTATAGGATAAATGAGACTGCAGCATGTTAGTGATTTTGGTTTTTATCAGTATTGTTGCCGTTGGTGCTATACACTAAACCAATAAAAAATTACTGTTGAGTCAAGGTTTCTAAAGCTTTACTTGACTAAGGTAAAACACAGGGCCGGATTTAGCATTTTTGCGCCCCTAGGCCCAAATAATTTTCCGCCCCCTAGTCTGGTCACAGTTAGTTACTTTCCTTCAAACCTTTATTAAAAACTTTATCATGCCCATAGGCCTAAGTTAATTGCTCCACTCCTCGTTGGAATAATTGCAAATTTTTTTTAAGAATTGACTTGTTTAGCCTTAACAAAATGCCGTCTTAAACACTTTTTGCAATTTTATTCTTTTAATAAATGCTCACGTTTGTGGCCGTGGGACTGAAACAAAACAACTCAACCCACCGAGCATTCCTGAAAAAAACAAAAAAAACATGGCCATTGATACCAATTCCAGGCCCAAAAACATGAACTCCATACAGTACGTGATACCATAGATTGAACATACTCCGTTAGTAGATTTGTCATCAATTTGGATTGACTTACTTGACTTATTTCCTGTCGCTCCTTAGCGGGAGCATAGGGCATCGAGAAGAGCTCGCCATCCATCCCTGTCTTGCGCCAGGTCCCTCAGTTGACCCCAGGTCTTCCCGACACTCAGGCTTCCTTCATTATTGTTCTCCTCCAGGTGTCACAGGGTCTTCCTCTCTTTCTGGTCCCTTGGGGATTCCATTCCAGGGCCTTCTTTTCAATTGCACCATCCATCTTCCGAAGAGTGTGACCCAGCCACCTCCACTTCCGTCCTCTGATTTCTAGGCTGATCTTTTGTTGCCCTGTTGCCTCCCAAAGCTGTTCATTTGATATAGTGTTTGGCCAGAACACTCTCATTATAAGTCTGAGACACCTGTTTACAAACACCTAGAGCTGAGAAGTACTACGCTGATCCATTTTCCAAGTTTCACTGGCATATAGCAGGACAGACTTGACGTTTGTGTTGAAGATGCAGATTTTGGTTTTCATTGAAATATTTCTATTTCGCCATATTGGGTAAAGCTGAATAAATGCTGCATTAGCTTTCCCAATGCGGCTCCTAACATCTTCCTTTGCTCCTCCGTCTGCTGCGACTTTACTTCCGAGGTATTGGAAAGAGTCGACCTCTTCGATCACCTTCCCATTTAGTTCTAAGGCTTGGGCTACTCTGGAATTCAACCTCATTTCCTTTGTCTTATTTACATTTATCTTAAGACCCACCTCTTCAGCCTCTCTTTGTAGAGAACTTAGTTTGACCTGAATATCAGTGTACCTCTGGGCAATCAAGCAAAGGTTGACGACAAGCAAAGTCAAGGTCCTCCAGCCGCTCCCTCAGTCCCCACTGCACTCCCCGCCTTCTATTATTTGTTACTCTCCTCATAACTGAGTCCAGCACCAAAAGGAACAGTATCGGTGATAAAATGCAGCCCTGGCGAACACCTATTTTAACTGGGATTGCTCCTGTCAACTTTCCTTGGTGCGAAACCTGACACTGGAAATCATCGTACATGGCCTTGATAATATTTATTATTTTAGGGGGTATCTCATATTCTTGTAGAACATGCCACAGCACCTGGTGTTTCACTGTGTCAAAGGCCTTCTCGAAATCTACAAAAGCCAGCCAAAGAGTACTTTGAAATTCCTTTCTCTGCTCAAGTAGGATTCGGAGAGTACTGATTACATCCACACAACTTCTTGCTTCACGGAAACCTGCCTGTTCTTTCCTCAGTTTCAGTTCAATGGAACCTTTTATCCGGTTTAGGATTATTCTGGCCAGCACTTTGCTTGGGACTGACAAAAGGGTAATACCTCTCCAATTGTTACAGAGCGTTACATCCCCTCTCTTGGGTATTTTGACAACTATACCCTTCTTCCATTCCTTTGGAGTTCTCTCCTCTTGCCAAATCTATTGAAGTAGTGGATGAAGTAAGTCCGCGGCTACATCACCAGCTTTTAGGATCTCGACCGCAATGTTGTCTAAACCAGGGGCTTTGCAATTTTTCATGCTTTTGATCGCATCTTTGATTTCCTCAATTGAGGGGATTTCTAGATTTATACCATGGTCCACCTGCACTGGGCGAGGTAGTGGCAAAGCCTCGTCCTGAGCTTCTGCTCTATCCAGTAGTTCGCTGAAGTGTTCCTGCCATCTATTCAACTGGTCTTCAATGTTTGTCAGCATTTCACCACTCTTACTTCTTACTGGTTTTTCTCTAGCGAAGTTCTTCTTTGCTAGTTTCCTTGTAATGTCGTAAAGCTTTTTGCTATTACCTTGTCTAGCAGCTTCTTCTGCTTCCTGAGCCAATTCATCAACCCATCTTCTTTTGTCTCTTCGCACATATCTCTTCACATTACGATTTGCCTCTGAATATTCTTGATAGACGTTTTGCTTTTGAAATCTGGTTTTGGAGCTGTCATTTTGTTTTCAAAATCTTCCTTTGGCTTACTTCAGTCCACGTTTCCTCCGACATCCATTCCTTCTTTTCCTTATTCCTGTACCCTAAAACATTTTCACTAACCTCTTCAAAAACTTGCTTCACATTCTTCCAGATGTTCTCCACCCCTGAACTCAGGGCACCACTGTCAGCCAAGACTTGATACCTATTTGTGGTTTCAATAACAAAATTATTCTTTATTGCTGGGATTTTCAATTTATCAATGTCGAACTTCCTGCCTATACTCATCAATTTGGATTAGCTGAAAACAATTCTTGTTATTTAAGGAGTATGTTTTTTCTATTTTTAAACCTAGTTTATCCAAAATAAAACTATATAATCATCAACAATAGGTCGTCTCCTGTTTATATTACAAGAAATTAAAACACACATCATAGAACTAATCCTAAAATAATAGAAACAAAATTACGTCAAAACTAACGTCCAGTGTCACCAACATGAGCTAGACATAACAATTTTTTAATTAACAATGTCATAAGAAGTCGACTTGAGTTATATTTAATCTATGGTCCTACTGCATCTAGGTTATATTTCCAAAGCAAAACAGAGCAATAATCCGGCCAACCGTACCGATCCTTAGGTCTGAGGAGAAAATGACAGCATTAATGGTGCTTTGGAGGGTATTGAATTTTTCTAAAATCCAATGCAAACTGAGATTAATATTTTTTTGTTCATTTTAAAGGCAAATTCATCGTTGAATTAATCAACACAACTTATTATATATTTTAACTTGATCCTGCAGATTGTTGTAATGTAAACTAATCAAAAGATTAGTTAATAACTTTTGTTTGGTGAGGTGAGGGTGGTAACAACGTCTAACACGCATGCGCCCCTAATCACTCTGATCAGTAGTGCCGAGCCCGAGCCAGCATAGTGGCAGTGCATTGGCAATACGATGCGAACCCCTTGGGCGCTCGTCAACGTCAACATCCCTACAGCCTACTCCCGTATAACCAATGTTCGTTATCAATTTTGTAACAAAATTGATGCGTAATTCTGAAAAAAAGATTAAATTTCCTAACAATTATTTCTTTTTATGAACTTCAGAATCACAATGCTTTGAAGTTATTTTATCAACTATGACTATTTATTTGTTATTTTTAAATAGCCTAGGTTTAAAAAATTACTCTCTGGGACCTTGCGCCCATAGGCCCGGGCCTACCGGGAAATCCGGCCCTGGTAAAACGGTAGCAATGTCAACAGTGTACAGTCATAACTAACACAAATAGTGAGTGCATGATTTCACAGTGAATATTTGGTAGTCTAAAGAAAGGGTTGGATGGCACAGAAGGTTGGGTACCCAAAGATCAGATAATTGAGATTACTGCATGTGTATCGTCAATACCAGAAATCATGAAACTGCATATTATTGTCATGAGAATTTGGAAAAATTAAAATCATTTAAGTTAACTAATAATAAAAAAAATATACAGTATCTCTTTAAAATCAAAGAGTGGCAGATCATTGACCAGTTGGCTTAATATCGGGGTGTTTTCCTAAAATTTAGGTTCTTGAATAACAAGACTGTACTCCTCTTTATACTCTGTTTACTGACAGTAAACTATTACTGCCATAGAAGTGTCTAAGGACTCTCTCAACAGAGTCTGTATAGCCTAATATATTGATATGATCAGTTACAGCCCAAGACTAGACACGTCTGAGGATTTGTTCCACAGAGCCTGTTTTTATTGATAATCTGTTACAGCCATAGATGCACCAAAGGACTCGTTCAACAGATGGTTGATGGAACGCAAGGTTGTTGACACAGGTACAGACCCACTGTTGCCAAGCCAGTGTTATCCTGAAATATCTCAGTGCATGTACAAGGAGATAATGAACGACATTCCCATCAAGCTGGTGCGACCAAAGTTCACCGGAGACGCTAGAAAGCAACTTTCAAGATACGCTGAAGCCGCAAAGAAAATGATCGAGTCCAGGTGGGTTTTTGTAGCTTTCTAAATAATAAAATGCTTTGATTTTTACAAGTCAAACATTTTACATGTTTCATGTGATTTTTTGTTTGTTTTTAATTAGACCATAAAATGATGGTTATTGAAACTTTTCCTTCTTGTCTGAGGAGTTTTAAAAATTGTACCATAGACTAAGCAACACAAATAGACTTCTCATCCCATTGTAAATTTTGAAGCTCGTTCTTTGTTTCTAGTTCATGTACGTCGACACTGATTGCTAGTGTAGTTGAAATTTTGTTTCTATTATTTTAGGGTTATTTCCATGATTTGTGCTTTACTGTTTGGCTGTATAACTAGGAGACCGGTTATTGTTTATGATTAGATAGTTTTATTTGGTTAAACAAAGTTTTAAATGACTGAAATAACAAGAAACAAATTGTAAACAAAATACGACCTCTACAGTGTGACGTACAGAACCAACAATAAAATTGGCTTCAGCTGTTCAGAAGGATGACAAATCTACTAAGGGAGTATGTTTTATCTATGATTGCACAGACTTATATTTGGATTAGAGGAATGTATGTATGACGCAAAATTTACCTGGACACATTATTCATAGATTAAATGTGATACATTACTTCAACTCACTTATTGACACCAACAAATGACTGAGAATTGAAACATTTTGTAGTTACAGGCCATCATAGTCTAAGCGGTGAGTCTTGTTCTCATTCCTTGTTCTTCAACCTGTGTCAAATAGCTCTGTCATTATGGCTAACTAATTTCATTGACCTACTAGGCCTAACTGTGCACAATTATAACTTATACCATTATTTGTCAAAATGAAATCACTCAACTAGGCATATTCAATTCCATAACTTGTCATGCCATCCACAAACTAACTTATTAAAAGGAAAAAACTATCAGAAAAATAAAAACAATACAGTTTTTGTTTATTTTGAAAGGCTTAAACTGTATCTCACAATAATTTACAGCTAAGAACCTGTAATTAAATCAACAAAACAAACCGCTAACAACAATCATTTAAACTGATAAATCAACAATACACGAATCAGCTTCTAAAGCCTATTGGATGATGCTTAGTAGTGCCAACCTACTTCTGTTACATTTGCTGCGATTTTAGCCAGTTTTATCAAAATATGATGATATGGTAAGAAGTGATCATCTTGTTCCTAGACTCTGGCATTTCTCGCACAATCTTAGCCATCTTGTTACGAGATGCGTCTGCCTGCATTCAAAGGGTTATCAAACAATTATGATTAAAAAAAGCAAACCCATAAACTTGTACCGAATAACTGGATATAAAATATTTTGTGTACAGGAACGCCTCACCAGAAAGTCGCAAAATTGTTAAATGGAACGCGGAAGATACGTTTCAATGGCTTAGGCGGACAGTGGGAGCAACATACGACGACTTTCAAGAGAGGCTCGGCCATCTCAAGGTAATTTCAGTTCAGTTTCACTCAAATTATTAAAATTAGTGTTCTTTGGTGTTTTTATGATGTCAATGTTTTAACTTTAATCATCAATTTGTATTTTAGTTTGTACGAATATAAATGTTTTGTAATGAAAGAGAAGAATTAAAGAAAGGGAATTATAGAACTATTTGTTTATATCTACGCCTTTGGATTTTCCAAAGTTTTTGTATGTTCCTGACCAAACATACAAATATTTGTAGGGGTGTGCGAGTACTCGAAATGTTCGAGTAGTTATTCGAGTAGTAAACTACTCGAACTCGGCTCGATGCTTTTAAAACTACTCGAGTTTTAATCGAGTAGTAATAGTTTTGGAGAAGGAGTATATAAACTGCATTTTGTTTTTGTATTAAACAGATTTTCGTACCAATATTAGTAAGAAAATAACACATTATCTTTATGGAGTTTTATTCCTAACCCCTTTTCGTCATTCACCTATTCATCAACAATTGATACTGATACTGAAGGTCTAACGTCTAACGCATTGCGATTCACGGAAGAAGATGACTACAGTAGATACGGCTACAAATCCTACACACATAGAATTATTCAATTTTCAAGGTAAGTACCCATTTTTAGTTTAGTTTATTAATTACTCTTGAAATAACTTAATTTTAAACCACTTTTACTTTATCAAAAATTGATTAAAAACTCATAAAGTGTATTATACTTAAGGAACTACTTTTTCATTGAAAACGTCATGACATGGAGAACAGACGACGAAACGAAAGGCAAAACTACAGAAGAGTGACGACGCTTGGTTTTATCCACTGAGCTAAAAATATAACTGGAGGCACTGCCATGGCAGAAGTCTGTCAAAAGCGTGTCGCTGATTTTGTTAGGTTGGTATAGCAGTGAGTTTTTTTTATCCAATAACATGGCTTCTTATAACTCACACCTCACGCAAACATGGCGGCTGGCGACACGCATCTTTGACATTCAGTGCTACCTCCAGTTAGAATTATAGCTCAGTGGTTTTTTCCAAGGACAAAAAAGTTGGTTATTTTTGTGACGCGATTTGTTATAAAGGACATTCATTATACCTGTTTATGGATCAGCTGAAGAAAATGGTACTGTATTGTTAGTTCTGTCCGGTGCACTGTAGAGGTTGTGTTTGGTTTACAATTTGTTTCTTCTTATATTTGTCATTTAAAACCTCGTTTAACCAAATAAAACTATCTAATCATCAACAATAACTCATCCCCTAAACAGTAAAGCACAAATAATAAACCTTAACCCTAGAATCATTAAAATAAAGTTTCGTCAGCACTAGCGCCCAGTGTCACTGGACATGAACTAGATACAAAAAAAGCTTCCAAATTTACAATGGGAAGAGAAGTCTACTTGTGTCGGTTAGTCTATGGTAGTAACCTTTACTTTTTATTTTTATGTTAATAAACAAACGAGGTTTTAGGGACCCGTCAAATATTATACATCTATTATAATATTCATATCACTATCTATAATAGTTAACATAACCTTTAATGGAAACGAAAAGTAACAACAGTTTATGGATATGTGCTTGTTATAAAACATATACTTCAATTGAATGGACAAACTTCCTCTTTGTCCTTTGTCGTCTGTGGACTCCCTCTGGACTGTAACCCGACTGACTGAAGTGATTTAAAAAAAATCAGTCTGCGCCAGCAGGCAGCCTGTTTTGTGTTATTTCATGTTCTTCTCAATACTAATACTATACTATTCATTCACATTTCAAACTCATAACGAAATGCCGGTTCCCTGTAAATTAGTTAAGTTAAAGTGTCTTGTGTTATTCTGACTGTGTTAGCTTTAGTTTCTAGGATTTTAGATAGGACATTGTGATATATTACTGTTGAAATATGGAGGAATTTGATGTGGACGACCCTTCCCTGCTACCGAGTACAAGTAGTACTAGTACTAGGCCTAGTAATAGTAATAGGCCTACTTCCGACTCAAGCCTAGGCCTAGGCCGAACTAAACGTCAGATTGCTGTCGTTTGGAAATATTTCCAAAGAAGTGGCTTGAATCCTGCTGAAGGTAAATGTAATAAGTGTAGTGACGTTTTAAAGCTCAAAACTGGCTCGACCACTTCGATGATACAACATTTAGAGGGGAAGCACCCTGATATCTACAAAGAGTACATTAATGAGCAAAAACAATCTGAAAACAAAAAGTTGACAAAACAGCCGAAACTTTCCAATTTTAAGCAACCTAAGATTAATGATCTATTGACTAGTGGGGAAACGCTTCAAGCGAAGAAATTTCTTGCCTGCTGAACGACAATGGCATAACCGACAGTGAGTGTTATGAGCTCAAGACCCGTTTCAAAGACTACAAGTCATTTAAAGTGTGTGTTCCTGCGGACCTTGAATCCAAAATCCGTGACCCTAACCTATGGCCTGCTGGAATATTAGTAAGAGCCTATCTTCCATCCAGACGTGAAAATAGTGAAAAGTCGTCTTTTTTAGGCAGAACCTTTTATCGAACTGTGGTGAGATAGTGGAAGAGAAGACTGTGGTTTTAGGTTCATCTAGGCCTACTCCCCAATCTAACATCTCAATTAGGCCTAACCTAAACCTGTCAGCGAATAGGCCTAGGCCATTGCAAGTTGGTGCTAAAAAGCCTGTTAGTGTAAATAAGCCTGTTATAAAACCAGTTACTGTAAATATAGCTTCTCTAAACGTTCAATGTCTTAGAACTAAAGTTGAGCTCTTGTCCCTCTTTGTGGAGGAAAACAACTGCGACATTCTGTGTATCTCGGAGCATTGGTTGAACGCTGAAGAATCAACTTATTATATGAACTTGGCTTGCCTACAACAAGTTAGTGCCTATTACCGTGAGGACCATAGAAATGGTGGTGTGGCTATTTATGCAAAATCCAATTTTACATGTAAATATATTGATTTAAACACTTTTTGCATTGAACTTGCCTTTGAAGCAACCGCTGTGGAAATAATTGACATCTCGACAACGTTGCTGTCTGTGTATAGGTCACCTGATGGCCTCTTTGAAACATTTATAACACAACTGGATTTGTGTCTTGACTATCTTAGTAAACTCCACTCAAGGCTGATTGTGTGTGGCGACTTCAACGTTCATCTGGAACGCCCTTCGAGAGAAGAATCCATCTTTGTGAACTTATTAAGAAGTTTTGATCTCCACATAACCTCAAGGGATCCGACCAGAAGAAGTGCTTGTCTGGACGCTATAGCTACCAACATAAACTCCTGGGACCATAGGACTGAGGTGGTTAAATCACTGGTGGTGGATCACGACGGAGCTGTGCTCATGTCATTGGTAGCAGACCAGGTAAGGACCCAACCTGCATGGTGTGATAATTATCTTATTAAAAAAAGAGTTATAGATAAGACCAACCTGCCTACTTTGTGCAAAGAGCTAGGGAAAGTAGACTGGGACTCAATCCAACATATTCAACATGCTGAATCTGCTTTTTCTGTCTTTTCTACAATGTACCAAGATAAATTTGATGAGATCTTTCCGTTAAAAGTTTGCAAATTCAAATCAACCTCTAACAAACCTAAGCCCCTAAATAGCAATAAGTCATGGTATACCCCTCAACTTGCAGCTATACGCTCTCATATGATCCTAGTTCATGATCATTATAAACTTGCCGATGATGATAATCTAAAAGCTCGCTACTTCCTACTCTATACTAAAATAAAACAGCACTATAGTTCAGAAGTTAGAAATGCAAAGAAGGCACACAATGTTAAAGTGATCTCAGAATCTACTAATGCCTGTAAAGCCGCGTGGGGGATTGTTAATGAACACCGCAAGCAAACTCCTGGCCCCATTGCTGTAGCGTCACCTGACGAATTCAACAACTTCTTTGTTAAAGTTGCAGATGACATAATCTCTGATTTACCTCTGTTACAGCATCAGGACCCCCTACACCAACTTGACGATTTTTCCTCGAACCATACACTAACACGTTGGAACAAGGTGAGTGAAAAACAAATTACTAGCATAGTCAAAGGCTTTAAAGACTCAAATTGCCAAGATGTTAATGGATTGTCAACCTCCATACTTAAAAGTACAATAAATGAAATAGTAAAACCACTAACTTTCCTGGTAAATTTATGTCTAAGCAATAGTGTTTTTCCGAACAGTCTTAAAATAGCTAGAACTATCCCAATCTTCAAAAAGGGTGACCCATCTATGCTGTCTAATTATAGGCCAATCTCCATATTACCAGTCTTCTCCAAAATCCTTGAGACGGTTATGAAAATCCAACTGATGGCCTACCTTGAAAATAATAACTTACTTTCTGAGGCTCAACACGGTTTTAGGAGCGGACGCTCTACGACCACTGCATTGACGTTTCTTGTTGAGAAAATCACGGAAGCCTTTGAACAAAGCGAGTCAGTCCTTCTGAGACTCTGCGACCTCAGCAAGGCCTTCGATGTCGTGAGTCATGATCTGCTAATAGCAAAACTTAGGAAGTATGGAGTTGGAGGTGCTGTCCTTGACACCTTGTCCTGCTACCTGGCCGACCGCAAGCAAGTTGTCTCCATAAATGGTGCTTCCTCTTGTATTAGAGACGTCCCATACGGAGTACCTCAGGGCTCGGTGCTAGGCCCAATCCTCTTCAGCTTGATGATTAACGACCTGTGGCTTAATGGATCCACCATGTTATTTGCAGACGACACCACCCTCATATCACAGGGGAAGGACATTGGACAGGTTCGGACGGAGGCTGACCACCTACTGGAACGGGCCAAAGACTGGTTCAACATGAACCGATTCAAGCTAAATGAGGACAAAACCCAATCGCTGCTGTGCACCCTAAAGTTTGATTCACATAAAGACGAAGCCGTGAAACTTCTTGGGTTTTGGCTTGACCCCAAGCTAAGTTGGAATACGCACATAGATAAGGTATGTACTAAACTCTCCAGAGTACTATGTCTTTTGAGGAAGCTCCGTTATGTCATCACAAAGCCTTATCTACTAAATGTGTACCATGC